ATATAAATAAACCACATTAGGATGGGGTGTTAATCTAGCAGCTGCATCTGATTCTACTATATGAGGCTGATTCTAGACTATTCCAAGCTTACAGGTTAATTCAAGTCATAGTACCTAGTATGTAAGATATTATCCAATGCCTCCAATGGATTTCTTCAAATGTAGGTAGGAATTACCTTTTGTAAACAAGGAATGCTTAAATTGTACATTAGGCTGCAGTGCTTCAAAGCATTATATATTTTGCTATGATATCACACATTATATAGCTCAGATATCAGCTACTGGCTGCCTTTATCCTGGTTCAAGAATATGTGATGCTAACAACTGTGATTTGAGGATTTTTTTTAATAAGGAGTCACTCATGGATGATAGTGCAGCAAGATGTGCAAGCAAGAAAATTATAACAGTGGTAGCAAACAGTTTCATGATTAATACCTACTACTGCTAAACATAGTTCCCTTTATGAAACATTTACTATATAATGTACCATTTGAAATTTACATTTAAGACTCCTGAAGTTATAGAAAAAATAACTAAGCTAACAGTGATCTTGAAATAAGCAAATGTTGTCTAAAATATGCAAATCTAGGTCATTATAACAGACTACTGCATAGGTTAGTTTCCATGGAAAGTATATATATTATTTGAAAATTCCACTGCCACAATATTAAGAGAGATTTCAAAAATTTGCACATGATTTTTTTTGTGGTCTTGGGTTAGCCTATGACATTGGCCTGATATAGATGTTGGCTTTTTTTTTTTTTTGGTCCTACCTAATACAACTGCCTTTGTTTTTTCTATATAATTTCCAGGAAAATGAGAAAGGTAAAAAATTGTTGAGATTCTTTTTAAATTATTTTTCAAAAGTTGTTAAACACTATAGCTTGATTCATACACAAGATCAAAATTTGGTGTGATTTTTGCTTAGTATAGGGACAGATGCTGCTGCCTATTCTGTAGTCCCAGTGGAGCACTGTGGAGGCTAGTACTACTCACAGACCTCAAGGCAGCTGACAGCTTTCTATCGTATCATATTCTATCATATCGTAATAGAGCTGCATGGTTTATGGCTTACCCTGATGACTTCTCCCATTACCAGATATACTTTGAAGAAGGTATTTGCAATGAGGAAGCCTCATGGAACTATGCAACTGAACTGACTTTCTGCTTGCTTTGCAACATCTGCCGAAATCAAGCAAGGAGGAGGAGACAGCACCCTATGAAGATGACATCTAAGGGAGGGAAAATCAAGAAATGCCCACAAGAGGAAAAATATGAGATATGGAACCTAACACCATCATCCCCAAATTCCTGTAGATTTCAGATCATGTAATTCACAGTAGTTATTCATAGTGTTGGCTGGAGCAGAATCTCCATAAATAAAGAGGGGCACTAATAATTTGTATTGTCAACCAAGAATATTAAAATCCTAATTAAGTGGTTGGTTGAAACATATGTTTCGAAGCAATAAGTATACTTATTAGGAGAGGCATTTGTGCTGACAGAATGAAAACAAATCCTTCTCTTCTTGGCACTTGCCAAGTGTAGATAGAATTGGTACATTCTTGCCATATATTTTTAAAACATCTGTTCCTTAGCAGAATCTTTTACTGGTTTTTTTGTGATTTTACTGTGCAAATCTGTACATATCTCCTTAAAGATAAGACTTGTTGACTTCAGTGGTGCTTAATGCCAGATAAACATGCATAGGGTTATATAGGATTAGCATTTTGAAATTGATCAAATAATTATTAATTAAAACTTTGCAGGCCTAATCATCATTTATCTCAACATTTTAGCCTTATACTGGATATCTGAATAAATAGGATTTAGCTGCCCTGATATCCTAGAAGAATTAGTTATAAATACATCTTAATAAATAAACATGCCCTTAAGCTTTTCCATGTAGTGTGATTTTGACACCTTTTGCTGTGAAGAAAAGTTATGCTTTGCTATAGGTGAAGACATTAAAAATAAATGATAAATTGGTTTCTCTGACTCCAGCATGATCTATACAATGTTCTATACATTTGTTTCTTTTACTATATTTCTAAACTGCCCTAATCCTCGACATAAGAAAACAAAAAATAGAATACTATAAATAAGTAAATCAGAATAATATCAAAACCCAAAACATAATCACAAAGCAAAAATAAACCCCAAATGAAATCCAGTATCAGCATCTACAGTCATTCAGCTGGACCTGAATATGTATTCAAATCAAATACTCTTTTCAGACTTATTATTCCAAATCAAACAACTCTTTTCAGATTTGCAGCAAAGTGGAAGGGGGGAGGGCTTGCATACACTTGTAGAGGTAGACTATTCCATGAGGTGGGGGCTTTTGCAGCAAAGGTCTGCTGTGTCACTCATGTTGCATGAACTCATAAGGGGAAAACATTTTCAGTATGTCCTCTCAATGACTGGACTGGATGGGTCTTAAAAAAAATCATTCCTTGCAACAGAGTCCATACTACTTACTACTTTTCTGCCAACTTTTGTATAATATATGCATTAGGCCTATTGTACACTGCCCAGAGTCTTGAAGTCAGACAGCTGTAATAAATACAATAAATAAATATTTAACATATTCTCGATCCACTTTTTTATCTTTAGTAAATACACAAATTCATCTTTTTTGCCATTTATATACAATTTACAATTGTTGATTTTCTTTCTCAAACACATTTACTTTGATACATTAATTTTCATATCAAAATTCCTTAATTTTCAGATCCCATACAATCCAACTGCTACTGCAAATTATTCCCATTCTCAGTCAAAAACATGGCATCATCTGTATGCAAAAATGAACATGCAGGTAGCCCTTGCTTAGTGACCCTAATTGGGACTGGAATTTTGTTCTTAAGCAAAGTGGTTGTTAATGGGTAAATATTATTCTATGGAAAATAGCTACCGCTTGCCAAAAATTGCTGGGGGTAGTTTTTCCACCCTTTTGGAACTGTCAGAGCTCTTATAATATATCTTATTTCATATTTGTCTGTTGCCACTATGTTTACAATTGCTGAATTATAACTGCATTTTATAAGAATAAGAATTCTCTAATTATAAAGACTCTCTCTAATGCATATGTACTGCCCAGCCTGTCATTTATGCCCTAAATTCTTCCTCTTTCAGGTATCCCCAAAATGAATGTAACAAAAAAAATATTATTTTTAAGATAACTAGTTTAATGGCTAAATTTGGAGTACAAAAAACATGTGGAACTTGTCCGTTGCATTTTTTAAATTGACATTTCTCACCTTTCTTCAATATGCCTACGCAAATATTAAGAAAGGTTAGGATATTTTTAAATCAGGTTTCTAGGTGGCACCAGTGTGACAATACTGAACCTATGCAAGCAAAATCTACAAAAACATCTAATATAGGATGTAAGAATTTACATTCCTCATCATTACGAATCTTCCACAACTATGTGGACATGCAGAACCCAAGTAGGTTCAAATATCAGTATTCAACATTAACAGTGAAAGTTCAAATTATATTATATAGTCCAATTGGACAAAGATCCTTTGAAAACAAATCTGACAGCTGCCTTCAAGACCAGCTTCAACAGTTTCAGGTGTACTGTACAATTGTCCCAAGATGATCTAATATAGAATGGAGCAAAATATTTTAACATTCAACATGTTTAAGAGTTATGGGAGAAGAACAGGTTTTACCAGAAAGAAGACTGAGACTGATCTGAAAGTGGATTTAAAAATGTCAAGCTACAAGAATAATGCTATAGTGGGCCTATAAAACAAACCAGCTGATGTCTTTATAATTAAATGGGACATACAAACCTGGACCTGGATTAATATTAATATTAATGTTCCTATATTGGATTTACAAAACAAGCTGTTTGAAGAATTTTTTGAGAAGGGACAAGAAAAAAATTAAAAGAAATGAAGTTCTGGGACATTATTTGAAGTGACTAAAAATCAAGATTTTTAAAAGGAATATAAAGTTGGTTTATTTAATCAGGGTTAAAATAGATATTTTACTTATTTTTTATGTGTATCCCTCCTTTATTATGTTTACAAATAGCTCAAGGCAGTGAACATATCCAACACATCTTCCTCCTCCTATTTTCCCCACAACAATCCTGAGAGGTGAGTTGGGCTAAAAGAGAATGGCTGGCCCTAGGTCATCCAGCTGGCTTTCACAGCTAAGGCAGGACTTGAATTTATAGCCTGGTGTCTTAACCCTGAGGTCCCCAACCTTTTGGGCACCAGGGACCGGTTACGTTGGAGAGAGGTTTTTTCCACAGACCGGAGGGTGCGTGGTTTTGTATGCTGCCTACATCCTGCAGATGGGGCTTTGCTTGTTTGTACGGATCGGTTGCTGGCATGCCGTAGACCGGTACTGGTCCACAGACCGGGGATTGGGGACCCCTGCCTTAACCACTAGACAAAACTGCCTCTCATATTGTTATCACTTACTTTAATCCTTTACTGTAACATTTAATGGACTTTTGCTGCTCAGTATTGAAAGAATGATGAGATTTTTAAGGATTAGTATAATGAAAAATTGTTGATCCATTGAAGACAATAGAAATTTTTAAAAAACCCACCCCAATAGATACTGAATTTAGGACAAATCTTTGCTGAAAACACTACATGGCTACCAAGAATGGAGCTTTACTTGAAGCATGTTTAAACTGCTCTTTGGGGTAAGAATGATTTATTATGATTCATTATAATGCCAAGTCACTAAAAATCTCCTATATGTTAAGAAAAGATAGCTAGACATTTACACCATTCCACATCCCTGAAAACTGTAATTTTGATAATGTTATGTTCTTCCTAAATATCATTTTTTTTGGATAATGCTCCCTCTTCTGGACTAACATTGCCAGTGCTGCATTTTTCGCTACATATATACATGAGTATTCTTTGAGAATACTTGTTCTTCCTGAAACTCAGTACTGTTACTTTCCCCCTTGAAATTATTATATTGACATATTAACAATGAAATGAAATAAACCCAAGACAAGATATTGATGTTACCTTCAGCCTTGGCAACAATTTATTAATATAAAATACATTATATGTTTGATTCAATGTGGCTAATGAGCATTTTCTCTGAAATATTCATTTTGTTTCTTTTACACCAAGAACTGATGTAGAGTCCCTTTTTTCCCATGGCAACCACAAACATATTACACTGAACATTTACCGCCATAGGAAAAAGAAAAAGCTTAGCTGTCTTTTTAGATATAGAAGTACCTTGACTGAGATGCCCAATACATGTCTTTGAAATGCAAATCCAATTCTGTAGACTGTCTTGTAGTTCTGGAAAGCAACATCCTTCGTCCAAGAATAATATATGTATCACGTCTGCTCAGAGGTGCTGCTTGTGGCAGTCCCTGGCACTTTATTTGACGATGATGTTTCAGCAGTCCGTGGAGCCTGCTTTGGGAGCCGGATAGGCACATAGACATTGGAAGCGCAGTGTTCCTTAAGATATTCTCCACCTTTCTCTTCGTAATCTTTCCTAGTTATCCAGCCTTCTTCACGGTTCATGTACTCCAGGGCCCAGTCCCGAGCTCCATACCATGCGTCAAGAACAGGATTAGAAGCAAGGTGCACCTGCATGGCAACAAGAATATCACACTATAGAGACAATTTATAAGCAAAACTATTTGGTAGAAATAATTTCGAGAATTGTCCTTTCTTGCACGAAATGCCTGTTTCTTAAGATGAACTTGGAAGGGATAGATAGGTTTTCATGAGAATGGCTCTTTATGAATTCTTTGGTCTTCACTTTCCTAGGGAGGTGGCTATGGGACTCCCCTCTTATGGAATTTTTTTTCTTCCTGAAATATGTTCTTATGTTCCTGTGAATATAATAGGTTTTAATGGCTTTGGTTTTTAACATTCCATCATTTATATTTGCACTTTAATTATTTGTGTACTTGTCAGTTGCTGTATACACACTAAAATCCTGTTGGATAAAATCAAATGTCCATCTGTTTCTTTAGGTAGCCAACTGAATGCTTTTAGGAAGCTACTTGCAGTATCTGTATTAATACCAGCCGAGAGTCACATCTTGGTGAGATGGGCAGCACAGAAATTAAATAAATAAATAGCATACAAAATCTGAACATATTTTGATGGCGCAATGCTGAATATTTCACTATATAAAACTTTTGAATTTTCCCCTTCAATTGTGGCAAAGGCAATACTATACCTGAAAGGATGATTGGAATGGCCTCATTTCAAGCAATTCTTTCTGGATTCTAGCTTTCATTCCAGGATACATCACATTTCCACCAGTGAGGAAGACATTCTGGACAAGCTTTTCCTGTTGATCTTTAGAATATCTAAAAAAGAAACAAAAACCAACCCAGTTATTAAAACATTTAAAGCTCTTTTTGTCTGACAACAGACACAGGAATCTGCCAGTGTGTAAGCAATAGCTTAGTTCCCTTTCCCCTGAAGTATTACCTACATATCTCTACAACAAGCTAAACCACCCTTCCTAACCTAGGTTTTTCAGACGCTTATGTGAAGCCCATGTGATTACTGCTGAAAATTCAGAAAGTTAAAGGGCACCCAGATTGGCTTAAATTTTAAAGACTTCCAGAGTATAAAGCTGTGAAGTGCAATGCTTAGAATTCAAAGATAAAAAAAGGCACTAAAGAGCATGTAAGGGTGCAACATGGCACTCATTTGCACCTTAAAGTAATCAAATCTTAGGATCCTTGTGGCTGTTCTCTGCAGCTGCTGCAGGATCCCAGGGAAAAAAAGCATACTTCATTCCATGTTTGCTACAAAAATTGCTTCTCAACTTTAGGCCTACAAGTATTTTTTTAAATCAAAGTCTGATTTTTTTATTTTCTTTTTTCCTGATTTATAAAATCTTCCCAGATGATAAAAGCTTCTTTAACGTAATTTCTTTCTTCTTCATCAGTTGCAATGGCAAATAATAACTGTAAGTGGTTATAATGAACCTCAGATTTCAACTATTCCCCATTCTTCCTCTGCTTTCCTTACCTGAAAGAAATAAGTGTGCCTGAGATTGTGGTAGGTCTCACTTTTTTCATGTAGCACTAATCCAGTCTAGTACAACTTCTAAACACAATTGCTATAAAAGTGACACCCTGAACAGTATTTTTACACAACAGCAGAGTGTCACCAAAGGTATCAAGTATATATTTCTATACTACTCTTATATATTTTCTTGGAAATATACCCCATGTTATGCTCAGAGTAGTTTACAAAGCATATATTACCACACAATGCTTTGCTAAATGTGTAACTTGGCTTTCTCAGAACCTGCAAATACAAACCCTCTTCTCTTACTTAAAAAATAGTATGAAAACTAATCTGAAAATAAATAAGTAAATACCACATTTATTCACCTAACTTATAATCCATGATTAATAGAACCACGATTTGCTGAACGAATGCAACTGCCAGGGTTTGCACAACACATTGAGGCAAAGCTAGTTGAGTGCATGTAAACTCACTGTATTATTCCAAACATCCTTCTCTGAACTAAGAACATATTCTTAAATTCATCTATTTAAGTTAGGAATTCAGGAAGTCTGTACTTTTACCTGTCCAAGACAAACTGCATGGTTTCTGCTATCCCAGCCTGTTCTTCTCCTATTAGGGATGGCTGAAAGACAATTTCAGGAACTCGGATTCTCTCTGTGCCAAGAAAGAGCTGATGATACTCTGCCAGATTAAACACGGGCTGTAAAAACATGAAGATTCAGGAGAACAATGCTTTAGAATATACTGTCTCTTCTCAAAGCACTTTATCAGTGTATTTTATTTCCTTCCCTCATACATGTCGGATTTTCTTTTTACAGTGCAGTCTGTTCATAGCCATTCTACCCGATGGCAAAAAAGAGAGAGATTTGAGAACACAGTCCACTGCACTGGACTGAGTTGCTTGGCTTCTCTTCAAGAACACCTTCTACCTAGTCATTTGGGATGTTATGAAAAGCCAGGCCTGCATTTACATCTTTCTGTATTTCCCCCACATGCTGTGTTCCCCCTTTTTCTCATTGTTTCTATATTTGCAGGAAGGAATGATATTTTTAAATGTCTGTTGTGGTGCTGTAGAAATAAGTAGTTTAAACTAGGGCTGCTACACAACATAATAATTTATCCAAAACTTCATTAGCATCTTTAACCGTGCTCATAATTAGACAGCACTAAGAACTTATAAAAATCAACTCCTTGGATTGTTAATTTAGTTTTGGGTCTTACCAGAAGATTTAAATTTCCCTTACAGAACAAGATGATTCACTTGCTGTGATAATGATGACAATGTTATAACTTCATCTCTTTGCTCTAATTTGCAAGGCATTGATAGGATAAGCTATGTTGCAGGCCTGTTTCTGATTTGTGCAATAATTTAATAAAATGACAGAAATAATTTGTTGCAAAGAAAATTTGAAAATCTTACCATGTGAACATTTCTACCTGACAATTTTAATTGGAAGCCACTATAAGGTATTTACATATCTAGAAAATTAGATATAACAATTACATAAATATTTCTTCTCTGTCAATAAAAATTATTCAGAAGCAGGATTACAGTAATTGAATCAAAACTATAAGGTTGGTACTAGACCTGGTCTTATAGATTAAAAATTACATACAGGAACATTACACTCTTATTTGCCAAATTAAGACAGATTTTTTTTAATCTTATCTCTGCCTTTGAAGAAAAGGACAATAGCAATATAAATAATACAACAGAGCAAGCATGATCCAAAAGCAATCAGATATGATAACCCTGGATTGTACTGAAAAGATATGATTTGTAACACAAAAGCTATGGCTAAATCTTAATACTATTTAGAGAAATTGCAATGTCTTCCAAAGCCGTTCTGTCTGGAAATTAAGTGAGTCTGGCATATTTGAAGAACAGTAAGTTGGGGAAAGGCAATTTCAATCTATATTTTTAGAATTAGTATTGCATTATTTTAGTTTCTCCCTTGCTTACCAGTCTTTTCTAAGTGGACATTTTTATGGCTGAAATTCTATATGTTTTGCCATCTAAAAGCTAACAGCTGAGTGACAAGCAGAAATTCACAGTGTGTTTTACACAGCATTTAAGAATAGAATTGCAGCCTTTGAAATCCTCAGCTGTAAGGCTGAAATGCAGGAAAAGTACTGTACCTAATAATGTTACTGCCACTGAAATATCCAGGGTAAAGTTACACCAAATGAATTTCTGACTGCTACACACAACATTTGTGCCCCTTCAACTGAAACTGAATAACCCATTTGCTTCATGATGTCCTCAGCTAAAAAATGGTAAAAAGCAAACAGCAATGCTGTGCCCTAAAAGTATTGAAGTTACAAGAAGCAAAATGAAGGTGATCCTAATTCAGACAGAAACAATCACAACAAGATTGCTGAAGGGCAAAGGCCTTTGAGCGGAATAAATCCAACCTATCCCAGAAGCAAGAAATTAAATAATTCACTTGTTATGGTTGCCCTCTATTTTCCAGGCATCTTTCCTTGTCTGTCAGATCCCTTCTCACTCCAGAAATAAAGAGAAAAAAGGACAGAGGAAACTGAAACTATAGGGGGGGAGTATAGGTACTATATTCTCCCCTTCTTTTCCCCACAAAATCATTATTTTAACAGAATGAGAAAAATAATAAAAGCATGCATCATAACAATATTAAACGTTACAGTATTTATATTAGTACTGAAATAACAAAGAAATAATACTAATTTCTCACTGAATTACTTTCTTTTACTCACAGCATCTGCTTCTACTTCCTGACATTTTGACACTTTTCCCTTGGCAGGAACACACATACGTAACTAGTATGTTTCCCAGTACTTCCTTCATACCAGACATCATTTGTAACCTCTCGATTTCACAGTTGTTTTTGGTTAAATTATTACAGGAAATTCCCTTTGTCTTCCATGTTCACCAACCAGGACTCAAAAATATTCATCCACGATGTCATAACATAGCCAACATGATTAAATCTAGTTATAGAGGCATGGCTGCCCTGAGACTTTCAGCTCTGATTTCAACTGCATACAAATAGATTCAACAGAAGAAAACAGCAGACGAATTGCTTTCTAAACATATGTCTGTTAATATGATTGAGGCAACACTTATGCTTATCTCTTCCTCCCACCCCATCCCTGGCACAGCAGAGATTGGAGAGAGATTTCAAGAGAGTAAAGCTGTTTAGTCTTCTACACATTGAGAGCAATGCAACTGCATGAGCAGTGGAAAGGGTCAGGTAAAGGAGAGACTTATCTACAAAAATCACTTCTTTCCCTCCTCCACAAAGCAAAGCGATTGCAGAGAGAGAGATTCCAGTGAAGTACTGTAAGCTGTTTGCTCTTCTACACATCAAGAGCAATGTGATAGCGCCAGCAGCCAAGGGCTCAGAGCCACGGGCATCCTATGCAAACAGCTCACAATATTCTTTCCTATTGCCAGTACAATCACCTTATGAGGGGAAAGAGTCAGGCAAAGAAGAGATTGCATATAGAAATCACTTGCTTTTTTCCTCTTCCCTCTTGTGGAGCAGAGAGATTGGTGAAAAAAAGATTTCAAGAGAGTACTGTAAACTGTGTAACATGCCTACAGCTCCCAGCCCAGGTCTACAAGTGTGATTGTGTTGCTTTCAATGTGTAAAAGAAACAAGCCACTTACTTTCTTGCCATTCCTATATCTCCAATCTTTCTGTTCTGCAAGGGGGGGGGGAGAAAAAATCCAAATGTCAGGCATAAGGCAATGCAAACTGATTGTAATAGCTATAATGTTACTGAGGGACATTGTGAAAGTCATAAATGGGCTGTATATTTATTTTTTTCAGCACTGTTGTAACTTTGAGTGGTTGCTGAATAAATGGTTGGTAAGTGAGGAGTACCTGTACTGCATTTGGAATTCAATGAACTGAATAATAGCATAGCAAGATGGAGGCCACTGCTCTGACAAAGTCAGCAGAAGGATTACATTGGACCTGTCCTTGTGAACAAAAATCCTGTGAAGCTCTAAGCTCAGCAGTTCTTGTGAAAATAGAGGTTTAATCCTCCTTTAGCAAAGAAAGCCAACTTGATAATTTTGGACCAGTCTCAGCCCAATCCAACTCACAGGACTGTTATTGTGGAGAAAGCAGAAGGAGTAAGCATTATGTATGCTGCCTTAAGCTATACAAAATAAAGATGGGATAAGAAAAAACTAAGGTAATAGTTAAGAATCTCCCAGATAAACAGAAAAGGCAAATGCTAGAGAAAACAGAGGTACAGATAGTGAAAAAAGTTGAATATTTAGGTATATATCTTTCGGCCAAATGTTCGTCAATAAAAGTTATGCAAAACTATTGAAACAAATAAAGCTGGACTTGGAAAGATGGAAAAATCTGCAGTTGTCATTAGGAAGAATTGCTACAGTAAAAATGAACGTACTGCCGAAGATTCTATTTTCATTTCAAACAATTCCGATAAAACTTGAGAAAAAAATTCTTTCAAGATTTAAACTCATTAATTTTGAACTTTGTTTGGCAGGGGAAGAAAGCTAGAATTAAGATGAAAACACTACAAGACGCTAAGGTAAATGGAGAATTTGTGTTGTCGGAATGGGTGTTGTATTATCAAGCATCTGTTTTAACATGGGTGAAAGAATGGATAATGCTTAGAAACAAAAGGTTGTTATATTTAGAGGGACATGATTTACAATTGGGGTGGCAGGCTTTCTTATGGTATGGGAAAAATAGAGCTCATAAGTATTTTCAAAATCACTATATAAGAAATGCCTTGTTAACAGTATGGGAAAAAATTAAAGCTAAAATATACTTAAAAATTCCAGGGTGGTTATCAACGATGGAGGTATTTGTACATCCGAATTGGTAGACTTTGAAAAAATATGGGCATATAGAGATATTCTAAATATTGATGGGAATTTAAAATCTAAGCAAGAACTGGAAAATCAGGGGATCAACCTGTCGTGGTGGGCACATTTACAGATGCAAAATAGATATGAAAAAGATGTGAAAATGTATGGATTCTATAAAGATCAAACTGTGTTTGATAAGATTTTGTTAACCTCAGATGAGAAATTAATTAAGAAAATGTATAATTTTTTGTTAATTTTGGAAATGGAAAGTGAACAAGTTAAAAAAACAACGATAAGATGGGTAAAAAACTTTGGCTATAATATAGAACTAGAAAAGTGGCAAAAGCTATGGGAGAGAAATTACAAATTAACAATGTCAACTTCATATAAAGAAAACTTGTATAAAATGTTTCATAGATGGCACTTGCCACTAGCAAGATTAGCAAAAATGTTTAAAAATATGTCAGATAGATGCTGGAAATGTAAACACAACGCAGGCACGTACTATCACATTTGGTGGACATGTGGCAAAGCTAAGCTTATTGGAAAAAGATACATACGTGGTTAGAAAAAATATTAGGTGAACATGTTGATTTTAAACCTGAACTTTTTTTACTAGGTATAATGCCTGAAAAGATTAATAAGCAGAGTTTATATTTAATTTTACACATCACTACAGCAGCGAGAATAATCTTTGCGCAATATTGGAAGAATGAAGGATTGCCATCAGAAGAGAAATAATCAGAAAAATATTGGAATGTGCACAGATGGACAGATTAACTATGAGACTGAAAGATAAAGAAGACACAGACTATTACCAAACTTGGGACTTATTTTATTGTTGGTTAGAGGAAAGAATGAAGGATTAAGAATCGAATATGTATTAGCATAGCTAACCCCAGACAGCTCGTTGATTGGAAAAATTAACATATGTATGCAAAAGAAAACCAATAAAATCTCTATAAAAACAAAACAAAATAAAGGTGGGATATAAATACATATAAATACATGCAAAAATACCCCTACCTTCTCAGGAGCAGCTACTGAAAGGGAGAGAACTTTCAGCCTGAGTGGTTTATTTTCTTGTCTTACTTACTTACTAATATCTTTATTTAGATATTTTTATCTTGTCTTTATTTAGAAATAATTCAGGGCAGTGAACATACATAGTAATACTTCCTCCTCCTATTTTCCCCAGAACAACAACTCTGTGAGATTGGTTGAGCTGAGAGAGAGAGTGACTTACCCAAGATCAGTCAGTCGGCTTTCACGCCTAAGGCAGGACTAGAACTCACCTTCTCCTGTTTTCTGGATCAGCAGCCTCACAACTATACCAAACTGTTTTTGAAACAAGCAGGCTCTTTGAGATCTAGCAATTTCTTATTTCCTATGAAATTTCCATATGCAAGGAAGTACAGAAAGACATCCACAAAGAAGCCTCTTTATTGTCCAACAATAAAGTTCAAGAAAAGGATGTCTACTGCCTTGTCTGCAAAAGTTTTTTTTCCCCTTCAACCTAACTTTAATACCAGGAAATAAGATAATTATTTTCTGGAGGACAGGCATTCTTCAGCTGTGACTAAACTGTTAGCTATGGAAAACTGTTCTTCCAATGTAGTTGGGCTTTTAGAACTTGCACTGGCAGACAAATTGAAGTTTTTTTTAAAAAAAAGTCTTAACTGCCACAGAGATATCAAAAGAGAAAGCCACAAATAAATCCAGATAAATTTTCAAAGGTCAGAGAATGCCCTTAGCTTTTAAGGTTGCCGAGCATCACAATGGAGACGATGGAAAAAGAACAAGGCTAGAAGTCTGGAAGTGGTTTGTGGATTTTTTTAAAAAAAAAAATCACTGATAAGTTTATATGAGAGCTTATACTGTAGATTTTGAGTGTACCGATTTCAAAGAGTGGGAATGGTAGTAATTTTCAGAAGCAGCAATCAGAGATGGCTCTGATATCTCCAAAGATGAGATTCAGTAGTTCCATATAGCCCTGGAGTCTTAGCCTATTTACCCATGAACTACCGTTCTTATTATTGTCATTATTAGTTTTTTATTCTGCCTTTTTATATATAACTCAAGCTGGCAAGCACACCTAATTCTCCTGCCTCCTTTTTTCCACAAAGTCAACCACCTGGCTTTCATGCCTAAGGAAGGCCTAGAATTCACATTTCCTGCTTTCTAGGACAACACCTTAACCACAACACCAAACTTTTTAACAAAATAGGCACACTGTTTGTGATTTAGCAATGTTCTCTTTATTTCCCAGAACGGCTGACCTAGAACTTCTTTTAGATGAATCGTACAGAGGTTTATTTGAAGAAAATTTCATAGAGTTTAATAGAATTCATTTTCAACACGCAGAATTGAAATTTCAGTTTTGTTTCAATAGGATTTAGAAAGACAGGAAGCCTTTCTTACCAAACACAATCTCAGTTTGTCAATTCTACAGTTTTTGATTATGACAGTTACAACTTTACTATGAAGAAAAAAAAATCTATCCAACATTACCTTTCCTTCCTTCCTCCTTCCCTCTTTCTCTCTCTCTTCAACTTATATGCCACCCATCTCTTCCAACGTAACTGACTGGATTTCAGAAAGCAAGTAAGCAAATATTTATCTGAAATTGAGAGTGTGTCTACTTAAAAACAAACCTGTACTGTGGTAACTGGTTTTTCAACTTCAGGTTGCTCCTCAGCAAATAAAGGGTCAAAATCATTCACACTTTCTAAATCTTCCATGGATTGTTCACTGCCCACTGGATCAAGGTCAGGAATCTTGGAAGAAAAAAATGTTACAAGTTATTCCAAGAAAAACAAAACACATAAGATATGTGTTAAGTTCTAAAAGGTGTTGCAACCAATTAACTAAACCAATACCTTTCCTTTTTTTCTGAAAAAAAAGGCAATTATTCTTAAAGTTCCAAATTCAGTAAATCTTATTTCCTTCAGAGTGAAGTTCACACTAAAGTCTTTGACAGCAGGTTTTCATATTTCCAATTATTTTAAATGGACAAGCTCGATGTTCCAGCACTGTTCCTCTGTTCCAAACTGTGGTCATTTCATTTCAAGCAGTCTCTAAGAGGGTTAACCTAATTATCAAGATGCCTCAAGTTGTTGTATTTTTAAACTCACCAGTAGATTCATTAAATATTTCATACTCATTCCTGTTCATCCAACCATGGTAAATAAACATTTGTTAGCCAATTAAGATAGGAATTTTAGAAAATTGGAACTTTTAGCTGCAACAGTTAGTTATTATTTTATTTATATCATTTTTTAAAACCAACCAACTCCCTCATAGAGAGACTCTGGAGGTTATCATCCCAAACGACAACACAAAAGAATATGAAGGAACTAATGTATGAATCCACATACATAGTGACTGAAAGTATTATCAAGTAAATCTTTACTAGATTAGGTTTTAAATCTATGGTTAGTTATTTAGAGCTATTATGCAACATCGGGATTGGGAATTCCATTCCAAGAATGTACTTTTTCAATTGCATTCCAAATATACTATTTTAAAGGTGGCAAATATGAAAAAAGTAATCCTCACAGCTTAAAATAAAAATTTACATAAAAATAGATATTAAACATTCATTTGAATGTAAGCAAACTGCACACATTAAAAATGTATTGCTTGAAAGATATATAGCAATAATAAAAAAGGAATTTAGCTGCTATGAAAAACAAAGGCTCAGAATGAGGCCTGCAAAGCTGTTAGCTACCCATGAATATCCACATACATTTATGTTCATGGTCACATCCTACTTTTTTCTACTCCTTTTGTCATAACTTGACACAATAGTTCTAGCAATTGCATGATTCTAATTTTAGCAAGAATCCTTGTACATACAAACTATTTTATAAGGTTCAGTGATGGCAATTCTGCTAAGTATACCTATTGAACTAAATATCTCAGAACTAATAGAGCGTGTATGTACCTACTTTGTTCCCATTTCTTCAATCATTACTACACTGTCTGTTCTAATGTGCACCTGTTTTCAGTGTCCTGAGCTTTTTCTGATAGTGAAACATGAGCGATTGGGAACAATAGTAAAAAGAGAAACTTGTCACACTTCCAACTTAAACAGGCTTTATCTTCTGATCTTTTGGCCTTAAATAGGCGTTATTTAATATGTGAATAAATCAGTTTTTCTCAAGAATGCTTCCCCCACACACAAAACTCTCCAAGCCTACTGGAATACATTTGTTTTTCAGAAAAAAGTTATTGACTACCATTGTCTTGTCATGTTGCAAATGAATTAAGAACAGAATTAAAGATGACAAAACAAAGAGCAGCAGGAGAGAGAAATGTGTACACTTGTGTGAAGTTGCAGTACAACCAAGAGAACAAAGTCTTGAAACTGTTTTCCATATCTTGATTCCTATATGTGGTACCTCTGGTTTGCTGTCCACAACATCCACTTCAACACTAACTTCTGCCTGGAGGACTTTCTGCTTAGTTTGCTCAATGGCCAAACTTAGCTTGTGGATATAAGACTGGAGTTCCTCAGCAGAGTCCATGTTCAGTTCCATCAATGCTTTGTGAAACTGATCCACCTGACCATCTTCTAGCAGTTCCTACGAAAGGAAGCATTAAAAAGAATCTACTGTTAACCTGCTATAAATCATTAACCTTCACCATCTATTTTCTGTTATAACTAAGGCAATTCTTGCAGAAAATTACATCTGTTGTTTGGAAAAAAGAAGCAAGTTGATTTTTAAATAAGTGACTTGTTATTTGCTGGCAATCGTGTAACATCTTTTATTCCTTCCTTGAAATAATATGAAAATGACACTCTGAGAACAAATATTTTACTGAGAATACAATTCCAAGAATAATCTTCCCTCAGCTTCTCATTTTTCACTTCCTCCAAACTAAAACTACAATTCCAGCAGTGAATTGAGTTACCTGAACATAAAGAAGCCTGTCTAGTCTCTCTTGATCCAGCTGAAGCTTTTCTTCTCGACGGCGAGCATTAAGTTCCTGAAGCCTTCGAAGTTGTTGCTGCCGTCGCTCTTGCTTCTCCTCAGACGTTACCGTATTCCCGAGGAGCTTATTTGAAAAAGGCAGCTGCATCTTATGCACATTGTTCTCATAGTATTCAGGTGATCGCCATTTATGCATCTCTGTTCAAATATTTTTAATATTTGATATTTAATTTTTAAATCATAGTAATAATTTTTGCTCAGAGATAATCAATAACCTCCTATGCAAATGCCCTGAGAAATTATGGAAAAGCGAAGTAGGATTTTTTGGGGGGAAGGGATGATAGGAGAGAGACATAAATAAATTACCTGCTGTGGGAAAACCTACATGTCTTTTATGATAGATCTTGCACCAATCCACACAAGAGAAGAAACAACAGGAAATTTTGTATCTATCTGATGTCAGAAAATAGAAATTGGAAAGTAGAAACGTCAGGGCAAAATACTATTTCCTGAGAAAATTCCAATGGAAACCAAGAGGCCAGAAAAGGCAAACAGCACGTATTAATGAAACTTAATAATCGGTATGATAAAAATTAGAGAAACACTTCTTCCCATTTTCTTTATAAAATGGCTTTTATAAAGCCAATCAAATAGCATGATTCATTCACCTTCAACAGTTTAGGATCTAACTAAACTAGTCCTTCTTAGATCTCAAATAAAAGGTCATAAGTAGGTTCTTCCACTGATTTCAAGGGAATCAAATATGGATCTGGCCCACTGTGCTTTATTATTATTACTGGTGTTTTATTGCATAACTCCACATTGCTGGGCAGTTCACAAACTTAAATCATAGCTGAGCAACATCATAAATTAACAACATGACACTAATAAAAGAACATTTCAAAGTTTTAAAAAAGCATGCTGCCAGATAGATGGCAGAAAAGTGCAGTAGTTAATCTTTAGAGACTTGTTAGAACAGCCATGTTTTAACAGCTTTCCAATAATGCCAAAAGTAGAGTTCAAATGGATTTTAGGATGGTGAAGTATCTTATATCCAATTGGTAGCATAATTACAGTACATCCACCAAAGTCAACACTTAAAATTAATTAAGTCCAGCTTAAGTTCCACTGTTTTCAACAAGTCTGCTCTAATTATGTTGTTGGATCTAAACAATGATGAAAGTAAAAAACTTCGAAAATAAAATATTAATTTATACACTATAATTATATATATTTTAATTATGAGAAAGACTCTTGGCAGTTTACAATTTTTCATATTGTATATTTTACAATATAAGTATATCAAATCACTAATGATATACAGTAAGTTAAACAAAAATATTAAAAAATCCCAGTATTACTATATTAATCATTTGGATTTATGTTTATTCTTAAAATATAAAATCTCAACAACATATAACAACATGCAGTATATTGGTGATTGTTTTTACAATACAAACACAATTTTTCAGTGAACTCATTTTTCATCTCTATTTACTCTAAATATATTTGTTGATTTACCCAAGAATATGTATTTAGCTGCTACACCCTGTTTGCTGAACTTCCTGGATTGAAGAACCATTTCACAGTTTGTTGCAATAATTCCTGATATATGAAACCAAAGCATGTTAAAAGATTTATATTATTTAGATAAGGCTGTGGTTATTTTATCCTATTCACTGAAATTACATTGGCTGCATTTATATTAAGACATCATTTATTTAACTGTGTTTTTGAAATAAGCCATTGTGGCTGATTTACACAGCAGGGTTACCTGGCCCTTTAATGGAATGCAACTCCAACCAAAACCAACTGTGCTCTCCCATTTAGTTTAGAAGACTCCTGGTTACAACTAATTTCTATTTTCTTTTGATTAAAAGGATATTGGCTTTTTGTGAAAAGCTAGTGCTACTAAACTATTGCTTGATGGAACTAAACTAAAATATTATGGTTTTGGATGCTGTAATAATTACATATGTTCTAATGCCTTATTCAGATTTGCAAACAAGATCAAAGCAACCTGCAATTTTAGATACTTTCCTATCTCTTTAGTAATATAAAATTTACTCTCTTTTTTTAAGAATGCCAAATACTGTGTTTTACAAAATCAGATAACACAAAGGAAATAAAGCTGCATGGTAACAATTGACAGCAATGCCTTACCTTCTTTGTAATCTTCGGCGATATAGCTGTGTTCATGGAGTATTTCTTCCACACGGCTGAGCGTGATGGCAGCAAAATGCCCTGGATATTTCAGTTGCAGGAGACGCTGGAGATAAAGAGCTGCCTGGCTTCCTCCAAGATTTATACGCTTACAGTTTCGTGCATCTAACCTAACAATTCATAAAAAATGGAGGAAACATTAGGCTGTATAGAACAGTTTCATTCTTTCTATTAGAACCCAAGTTCTAAAGACTTTTCAAGTAGGCCATTTATGTCATGTCCACAGTCACTCTCATCATCAACATTGGTTGGTTTTCACCCATACAGTGGAAAGTCTTAAGAAATTTTCATTACTTGTGTATACAGAAATAATTAAAATACAGTTAAAATATCCCAATTCACACAAAAAATAAATTATGCTTAAAATAAAAATTATTCAAGAGAGAGAATCCAATTGAATAGAAGAAAACTATATTTAATCCACTCCCCAAGGGCTACATGAGAGATTTAAGACAACTAAGAAAAAGGATTGATTTGGTTCTCACCCTCTGGCAGGGCATTAAATTGAGTGAGTCAGAAGAATGATAAGCAGCCAGTGTAAGCGATACAGAACAGAAGAATGAAAATTAGTTTCTTCTAAGTATTTTTAACTGCCATATTTTGTACCATCTGAGATGTTTAGCACAATAGATTATAACAATGAAGTTGAATATCATAAATATTCAAACTAAATAACTAAAAAAGTATAGTTTATTTAAATAAATACACTGCTAATCTTGAAAATTACATGTATTGTGCTATATCATAACAATACTCTAAACACTGTTCAATAGACTTCAATGGCTATATTTATTCAATACAAGTTTAATAATAATTATTCAATGAGTATTCAATAAAGGTTCAATAAACTTCAATGGCTACATTATACAACACACCAAGGCAAAACCATAGAAACCATTATAATGTTTAGCAGAATATAATGCAAATAAAGTTACTAACTATAGGAGAGCTCCAAATAGCTAAACTGACCCTTTAGTTATACACTGAGATGAGAACATTCTCTAACATGCAGATTTCAATCTTATCTAGTGCATATTTAAGGTTGCCGGTTTCCCATTAAACCTAAATTGCCCACAAAGGCTTATCTAGGGTTTTTCCATTACTTCCTTGAAATAAGGTGAAAAAAAAGAATGACATTGTGCCAACCTGTCAACTCATACTTCTAATTTATGTTAACATGTTCATGTAGATTGGGGCATAACAACAAGGACAATATGTCACCCATCAGGATAGTCTGAGATCAAAGGCACCTCATTCCTGCACCCCAGTACACAAAATAAAACATGTTGGTCTTTTTTTTTCATTTGGGGAATTTCTTTAAGCAGCAATAGAGTAATTTGCATTACAGCACACATTTTACATAACTTTTGAACTCCCTTTCAAAAGACCCCTCAGCATTCCAGCACCACTTTTGGAGTGTGGACATCAATATTTATTTTATTTATTAAATTTGTTTACTGCCCATCTCACCTCAAGGTGATTATATATGCCATATATATGGTGCATCCTAAGAAAAAAAAAGCTGTAGTTCTCTAATGTAAATATTAAAAAGATGTATACAAAAAAAGAGACAAACCTATAGATATCTCAAAACCTGATGCGGAAGAAGTAAGGCAAAGATTCCCAAAACACAGCCTTCCACACTTCCTATAGAACTGAACTCACACCCAAGTATTAGCACCCAAGTCCCAATGAGGAATATAACAAAGAAAAGCATGTTAACTAATTCTATCAAAGATCAATGAAAGAATTCAGGAGGACAGAGTCAGGCTTCTGCCCATTCTTCAGTGAAAGTTATTTATCAAGGCACCTACTATCCCAAAACCCAGGCCAGAACTTTAAATTGCACACACAACAAAAAAGGGTAATTATTCGTAATTCATGAAAAATTAAATTCTATAGGTATATAAGAAATAACTCACCTGCCATCTAAAACTGGTAAAATATGAGTACACTGGTATCCAGAAGAAACTATGAGACCACTGCAAGGCCAGCCTTGCCTTTTGTTATGATAGAAACTGTACAAGCTATCCACACCATAAGAAACCTTTGGAACCTGATAACATTCAAACAGGAGCTCTGACATCATTTGCCTTGAATAGAGAGGGTTGCAGACAGCCTCTGTTATCACAACTGGATGGTCAACACAGCCCTACAACAAAATTAAGATAGAAGTGACAATCTGTGAATCCTCAACAAGACAGATTTAAGCCATGCTCATACATAGGGACAGTGAAGGAAGATAAAGTGATCACTTCTACACTATGACATCGTCAAATGACATGACAAACATATGTACATTAGATTTCATGATGCACATGCCATCATGTTGATGTCATTGATGTTTATTACAAATGCCTGTGATTAAGAGATTTAAAAATTTAATATTACATGAAATGACATAACCCCCAACACATAGTATCTTGCTAAGTATTACTTATTATTACTTATGTGTTCTTCCACAGATATGAAATCTAAAATATACATTAATAAATATGGAAGTAATGTATTTTTGTAGAAGTGTAATCTGCATACTGCAGATTCTATGCACCATTCAACAAAATAGTTTAAGTGCTTCTTATATATGCAACACTTACAAAACAAGAATTATGCTGTTCTGCTACTTGAATAATGTACTCTTTCTTGAAAATAGGAATGTTTCATAATTAAACTTTTGTTCACAAAGGCTCTGGACTGGCTAAGTTACTCTACAGATTAGCAATTTGGCAAACTGGGCATTTGCATGTTTCCATTAATTTAATCACCGGGTAAATGCATGCACAATATAACTCTAATCTCATTCCAACTCTTTGAGAGCACATTTTTTGCCCAAGGCTCAGGTACTACTTTTATTTTTTACAGAACAATTTGGATTTGTGAGTTAAGATGCTAGGATAACAATATGCACCTGAGCTCTTTGTAAAAATATTTAATATACACCAAAAGGGAAAAAGCATTTTTATGATTTGGAAGGTGTCTAATTCCAAGGACTGACAATCGTGCATTTCCACATAATTTATGCTATCATTCATTCTCCCCTCTCTTAGGTGCAGAATATACAATATATATATATACTGTATTCTTTTCTACAAACTAAGTGTGATGCCTGGGCTACCCATTCTAGCCTGCAAACAATTTCAACCATTTGACACCATCTAATGGTTACCTGATTTTTGCAGATCAGCCCTGTAAGACAAGGGCTGAATGAAAACAAATGCCTCCAACATTATATTTTGCCCACAGATGGCCACACTGGTGTACTAGAAGCTCTGACACATTCTTTAGCAACTCTTCTTTCACTTCATTTGGGGGAAAGTGTGAGAAAAGACTGCATTGCTGCTGTTTATGAGACAGAAATGATCATTGAACTTTAAGCAATGCCCTGATTCAATTTTTTGACTATTGATGGTCCCTCCAAATGAAATTGAACAATGAGTGCAGGTTGTTCATGATGCTAACTGTGGGCATTAGTACTACGTATCACTGGAACAAAAAATATAAAGGTAGTGAAGAGCTGATTTATGTGACCAAAAATAAAACAGATAATCCGTGGCAGCAACCATCGTGTTTTATATGAGAAAATATGAAGTAATTAAGGGCAGCTGATGAATCACTCAAAGAGAAATTGTTGTCAAGTTTGGCATTTTCCACAAACATGTGTCACATTCTTGACTTTTTCAATACCATTAAGTTCATGCAAGAGGGTTTTTTACATGATGATAGCACAGATGAAAGCTTCAACAGCTGTCAGCAATTGTCATGTTATGAAAATAAAGGTAAAGAATTTCTTCATAGCACTATTAATACCTGTGCTGTTACAATAACATGAGCCTATTATTATGACCGAAATAGGGTTGGTTCCTGACAAATCATAAAGCTTTACCTTTGAGGAAAAGAAAAATACTAAGTCCAGGTTGCAGCAGGAAAACTCAGGTACAGGTGTTAGGAATATAAATGGTATTATTCACATGGTGAAACTGGCACCATTATCAACTTGGAGTTCTACATTGCAACACTCAACACCTTGAAACAACAATTAAGTGGAGTTTAGAAGCACAAGAAGGTGTGACAATGCCAGGCCTCATACCCCACAAGCCACTCAAGAGCCAACTTGATGTAGTGGTTAAGGTGCTGGCCTAGAATCTAGGACATTTTGGGCCAATCACTCTATTTCATCCCAATCTACCTGTTGTGGAGAAATAGAAGACAGGAATGTTAGGGTATGCTTACCACTTGAGTTAACCAAATATACAAAAGGTGGAAGTAATAGTAACTGTAAGGTTGATCTCCCTGTTTTATACCATTTGCCATATAGTCCAGATTTGGTGCCTTGCAACTTCTACCTTTTTGGAAAATGAAAGGAATATCTCATGGGTGTTTGTCTGACTCAAATGAAAAGATCAAAAAGGACCATCAAGACCAGGATAGAGTTCTTCAATAACAGTTTTAAGAAGTTTGTCCACTGTTCCCAAAAGTGTAGCAAACAGATGCTTATGTGGAAAAGTATATGCAGGTTACAAAAGAGTTCATTTATTATTAATATATTTGTATCCCACCTGTATTATTTTTACAAATATCTGAAGAGAGTGAACATGTCCAACATACTTTCCTCCTATTTTACCCACAACAAGAAATGATTGGCCCAAAGTCATGCATCTGGCTTTCATAGCAAAAGCAGGACTTTAACTCATGGTCTCCAGTTTTCTAGCTTGTTGTATTAGCCACTAGACCAAACTGGCTCATTTCAAGATGTCTTTTCCTTATTTATTAAAGCATCCTATTTAAACTGAAATTTTAGAGAAGGGGGTGTTATTTTTCATTTAACCCTTATAAATGTAATGTTATGTTCTATACATATACAAAAGATGCTCCAAACATGCTTTAACAAGATAATGCTTTTATGCATTCTTTTAAATATATAATTCAAGGTGGTGAACATACTTAATATATAATACACATAATCCTTCAGATCTTGAATACATATCTGTAGTTCAGAGCCCACTTCTATATTCCTGCTTTTGCTATCTGACCAGCCCATACCCCTGAAGAAAAGCCTTATGTGTTTGGAAGAATATTTTGTTGTTGCTGTTTTAAGGACACTTACCGGTCTTACCCAAGTCACTGATTTGTATGTTCCAGCCTTACTGAACTTATAGTCACTGAGGAATGAATTCTATTGAACATCAGTTAGTGAGGCAATACATCAGTGTTTCTCAACCTTGACAATTTTAAGGCATGTGGACTTCAACTCCCAGAATTCCACAGCCAGCAATGCTGGCTGTGGAATTCTGGGAGTTGAAGTCCACATGCCTTAAAATTGTCAAGGTTGAGAAACACTGCAATACATGGACCCCTCGCAGGAAATTTTGTTGAGCCAGAGAGGCCTTCGGTGCAAATGTCACCGCTGACTCCATTTCCTTGACGTCCCGGCAAATCTACGCTAGCGGTTGCCGTTAGCTCTATCACAACTGCGCTGCGAGTCAAAACCGGTGCAAAGCTTCTCATCTATCGCGGCTGAATCAACAGGCACGCAAGTTCTGCCTTCCTTACCTGCGAGGAGACGCCCAGGCGCTGGAAGCCGTGATCAAAGAGCTGCTCTTGCAGCTCCATCTGAACAGGCACGTTGCGGTCGAAAGGCGAGCGGAGGAGCCATCGGAGGGGCTCGGGGCTGCCCAGATCGTTGCCCACCTGTGTTTCCGGGCCAGCGCCGCCGCGAGCTCCCCGACTTCGAGCAACTAAGGAGCGGAACTGGAGCAAGGGCTCGCCCGGCACTGCGGCGTGCGGGCAGGCCCAGCCCAAACGCAGCTGGAACGAACCGTTATCCAGCACCAGAGGAACCGGAGCCGGCAGCCGCACCGCCGCATGAGCGTCCAACATCGGGTCCGGGTCCCAGCGGACGTCGCGGAACGGGAACACCCCTCCGGCTGCCTCCATGGCGCGAGAAATAATTTGCCGCCAGTCAGGTCCCTCCCCGTCTTTTCTCCGACTCGAAACAAAGGCTTCAATGGAGTGTTCCGTTCCCGAGACGAATCACCATGGAGACCAGTAAAACCTGCGCTCATCGCCGGTTCCGCTTTTTCTTTAGAAGAGAAGCTTTAAGATGTGTGGATTTCAATTCCCAGAATTCCCCCAACTAGCATGTTAAAATTCCTGAAGTTTAGAAAAATCGCTTTAGACTAGAAGAGTGATTTGCCATTTTGCTGAACAGAGGCATAGAATAAACAGAGGCATAGAATCAAGATCACGCGAAGTATTAATACCGCTTTATAAAACCGTTGTGAGACCACACCTGGAATACTACAAAAAAGATATTGAGACCTTGGAAAAAGTTCAAAGAAGAGTAACTAAGATGATCAAAGGCCTGGAGACTAAAACATGAAGACCGGTTGCAGGACTTGGGTTTGGCTAGTCTAAAGAAAAGAAAAAATAGGGATGACATGATAACAGTATTCCAGTGTTTGAGAGGCTGCCACAAAGAAAAGGGGGTCAAATTATTCTCCAAAGCGCCAGAGGGTAGGACAAGAAACTGGTTGGAAACTGATCAAAGAGAGAAGCAACCTGGAATTAAGGAGAAAGTTCTTAACAGTGAGGACAATTAATCAGTGGAACAGCTTACCTTCAGAAATCGTGGGCGCTCCATCACTGGAGGTTTTTAAGAAGAGGCTGGATAGTCATTTGTCTGAGATGGTATAAGTTGTCTTGCTTGAGCTGGGGGCTGGACTAGAAGATCTCCAAGGTCCCTTCCAGATTCTATTCTATTCTATTCTATTCTATTCTATTCTATTCTATTCACACATGCAAGCATATATGTCCAAAACCTCTCTTTACTGAAGTAGCGGGATTTCGAACTACATATTTAAAGGCACAACACTTGAGAACCTGAACTAGAGAACCGTTGAATAAAATATAATATTCCTTCCCCCCCATTTAATGTTGGAAATAGGATCTGCTTTTGATTAGCATGTTTGAAGGCTAACTGATTAGGGAAGATTGAAGAACAATATTAAGAGCTATTATAGATTTATTGAGATTCAAACTTCTTTTGTACTTTAAATATGTGTTAATGTAAATTTTCTTATAGTAGAGCTGACGGGAATTTACTAAGTTCCCTTACTAAGAAGAAGTGAAGCTGGATTTCTGGAAATGTCTAGTTTAAGTATGTCTAGTTTAACGAAGAGAAGGACGAGGGGGACATGATAGCAGTGTTCCAATATCTCAGGGGCTGCCACAAAGAAGAGGGAGTCAAGCTATTCTCCAAGGCACCTGAAGGCAGGACAAGAAGCAACGGGTGAAAACTAACCAAAGAGAGAAGCAACCTAGAACTAAGAAGAAACTTCCTGACAGTTAGAACAATTAACCAGTGGAACAACCTGCCTCCAGAAGTGGTGAATGCTCCAACATTGGAAGTTTTTAAGAAGAAACTGGAATGGTAGTATAAAGGAAAGTTAGAGATTACGTGATAGTTGCCTAAAATGGCTAGCCAAGAGATATCTTCTGAAGATACTATAAATCAGACGTGTCAAACTTGCGATGTCACATGATGTTCCGCCGACGTATTGGCCCTGTTTTGCCATTGCCGGCAATAGGGTGGGCGCGGTTTCCGTGTGACGCGTCTGGCCCGCAGGCTGGCAGTTCTTAATTTAAAGATGGAGACCATCAACTGTTACTCATCTATCAGCAGTATCACAAGCAGAGCTCTGTCCTAGCATAATACAGTTTAGGTGCAACAAAAACTCAGGCTCCGACCTATTTAGAGCCTTAAGTCAACTGAAAAGTACAGGTAAAGAGGCAGTTGGTAGAGCTGATGGGAAATAAAATTAATCTGACACTCAGCAGTACCATTCTATACTATTTTGAAAGGCAAATCTTCACTGTATTGATAGCAGTTGTATTTTTAAAACAAGATGGCCTAAACTGGGTTAGTTGGTTTGTGGTACTGTGCTATTTTAATCCAAAGAATGCTGTTTATTTATAAATTTTGTAAAACTCAGGCAGTTGGCAAAATTCAGTAAACCATGGTTCAGTTAATCTTGATTTAGCTTTTTTTATTTTATTAATCCAGCTATTGGAAAATCTTGCAAGAGATTATGCTGCTACATACTTCAGCTATTTAAGCAGTTTTTTTAAAAAAAAATAGCTTTATATTTAAATAGGATATTTATGTAAAATGACTTTACAGCATAACTATTGCCCATTTTTATTTTTCTATTTCAAATTAAAGTTCAAGATACAAGGTGTACTGCAGTTTCTCTATCGTTTCATCTGTAACATTCCCCTCTTAATAGGCTTAATATCAGCTGTGTTGGAATGATAGCATAACTGCTTTGTGATTCAAGTCATGATGTAGTAAAACAGGGTAGTTATATAAAGGTATTTAGGGACACACAGCAAAAACTTAGAAAGTCATGCGCATAGTGAGTTCAGCTGGATTTTGAATCAAAAATGAAGTATCCCCTAGTTCCTTTAATCAATGATCTAACATTTCCTTTTCTCTTCTTCTGGTTTTGTTTGCCTTTGGGGATACTATTGATCTTACTGATTTTTTGGTTTCAACATCTACTTAATGAAGGTAAGCCATATTGGACTACAATTTTTACAGTTTTCACTTAATGTGACTTTTAGGAAGTTGTAGCACAAGGTATCCAGGAAGTGCCAAGATGGGGATGGATTTTATAAATTGCTTTTTTATATCCCATGATATCCAAAATATTAGCACTGCTGAAAAATAAGCACTACATTATATGTCTATTCTAATAGGATCTGCTTCACTTAAAATGGTGATATGTAGTACATAAAGAAGAAAACTAAATATTTTGAATTTTATTATATGTCAAGTCATTTAAGCAGAACTGGTCAAAAGTGACTCAGGCCTCTCCACCAGTTGGGGGATGCATTGAAATAAGGTTAATGCCATTACCTGTATCCTGATGATACTATAGTATAGGGGCTTCCACAAGTCTTTGGAGGCTGAGATGAGTAACTCTTGGTTCATGCTCCAGAGGAAATACTGTGGAAATGTGAATTCAATATTTGCAGTGTTTCCTCTGGAGCTTCAGGATAAGTGGTTTTTGTGTGCAAGATTTCATTTTATCTTTTCACCATATTTTTCCTCCTCTAGAGTCTAGATTTTTTTATTTAAAGGTTTGTTGTTCTCAACTTACAGGAGTTAATTAATGTTTTAAAGCTGGCTGTTCCTTGTAAAAAGAATTCCCTATAAGTAAAGCAATGAGGAAGAAGGGACAGTTAGTTGCTGCTATTAGCTGGTCTCAGTTGGATAGCTGAAGGAAGATAAGGATAGTAGTTAGGTGTTATGCAGTTGCTTATGATTGTGCATATATGTTTGTGTCCAAAGTTGGTCATGTCAAGGGAATCGGAGTTACATAGGCATGGTGAACTAGCTTTGAACTAGTTTAATTCTTTGGTGTTTTTTAACTTTATATTTTTCACACAGGGAGAAAGATCTTGGATGACTGCAGTTTGTTAAACTGATTGTAAAACAGAGGGTATTGTGCTTTTAGGCTGTGTCCAAAGACAACCTTAAGTTGCTGCCTTATTGTAGATTGACATTTGGTAGACCTGTTAATGCAGATTTCCTGAAGCAAAGAGCAAAAACTCTTGGGATCCTATGGCTAATTGCTCTAGAACAGGGGTGTCAAACTGGTGGCTCGTGGGCCAGATTCGTCACACGCAGGCCACACCCACCCTGGCTCCGCAAAGACATAAAAACATTGCGATACATTACGATACGTCATGTGATGTGATCAAGTTTGACACCCATGCTCTAGAACAAAAGCTACTGAAATTGTACTTTTCTACCCAAACTGTGTTAGTGGAAGAACATTTGACTGCCTCTTAGTTACAAGTCAATTTAGTTTACTGGTTAAGGTACTAGAGTAGAAACCAGGAGAGTGAGTTCTAGTTCAACCCATAGGCATGAAAGCCAGCTGAATGACTTTGTTAGTCATACTCAGTGCAACTCATTTCACAGGATAGTTGTGGGAAAATAGGAAGGAATAATAGGTATGTTCACTACCTTGAGTTATTTATTTATGAAACTAAAGACCTATGTAAGTAAAAATGTTACTTTTATGTGCTTAGCAACATACTGGTACATTTGAGGATCAGAAGTAATCATCCCACTATATTATAGCTTGGAAATGCATATGCTATCAGAATAAAACTCCTTTTTGCAACATGTGAAGTTTGGAATGGTGCTATTCCACCACAATTCCAGAACTATTACTAGTCTGTGTTATCAAATGCAACATTTTACAATATAATTAAATATGGCTGCTAATTTTCCACATAGGGGAACTAGTATCCTGGATTCAATTGGTGTGATACAAATATATACAGATGAGTTGTTCTTATGCACAAATCTAACTAAAGCATTTTGAATGACTTTATGAACAGGTAAGTCAGTAGCATTTCTTCTTGAACAATGGCAAATGTCTTGATTGCCCTTCCCAGCATGTGTAAATAACCCTTTTCAAAACATCAAAATCATAATTGGCAATCCCTATCCAATGTTGAATAATATGAAGTTGCATTCTTCGTGAAATGTTTATTCAGATTCATCACTGTTATTAAACTCAAATGATGTTAATCATCCTGAAAACAATTATAAAAATTGCCTTTCATTACTGGAGCAAGAAAGATTCCATGCATTAGAAAACAGATCAGGACTCTAATTTAGTTTTGATTTCTATCTTTGTTAACATAACAGTTGTCCCCTTTGGATATCAATGTTATGCATTTTAAAAATATATGTTTAAACTGTACTATAGATAGAAAAATCTTGCTTAACTGTTACACCTTCTGTATTTAACCAAAAGGATCATCTTTCTAGCTTGTTGTCCTCCCCCCCCCCCCGTTGCATTGATATAAAATCCTAATATTTGTATTTTTAGCTGAAGTTCCCATTACTAAAGAAA